TCGGTATCGGCAAGTACCAAAAGTAAAAGTATCGGTATCGGGCGAGTACTGGAAAAAGTGGTATCGGTGCATCCCTATAAAATACATTTATAAATAAATATTTACTTTGAAGCATGAAAACAGAAATTGTGCATTATCAGTTAATATAGATGATGGTAATATTATCTGATAATCGTTCAAGTGGGTGTAGTTCTTATTGATGATACCCTCAAAATGGCCAAACATTGACAGATTAATCTGCTCTGGACAATATACCGATCAATCACATAATTAAAATTGTGCAAATTGTTTTTGAAATAAATCTCCTATGCTCACCAAGGCTGAATTTATTTGATAAAAATATAGTAAAAAAAAAAACAATAAAAAAGCAAACAACATATTTTAATACATTTTAAAATGTAATTTATTCCTATGATGGCAAAGCTGAATTTTCCATTACTCCAGACTTCAGAGTCACATGATCATTTAGAATTCTAATATGCTGATTTTATGCTCAAGAAACGTTTCTTAATATTATCAATTAATATAATTAAATGTTGTTGAAATGTTGTATGAAACTCTTATGCTGATGAATATTTTTGTAGAAACTATGATACATTTTTTCAGGATTTTTTGATGAATAGAAAGTTCAAATTAACACTATTTATTTGAAATAGAAATCTTTTGTAACATTATAAAATGACTTTACCATCACTTTCGATCAATTTAATGCATCCTTGCAGAATAAAAGCATTCATTTCTTTTTTTCTTTTTTTTATCTTACCAGCCTCAAGCTTTTGAACAGTGCATATAAAGGATGAACATCAGAATGCAGAACGATAATCAGAATGGAGACACGCATTTGTGTTGGCATGCAAATTAACCTGAGATCTTTTCTCCCCCGTAGCCCTCAGTAAGCAGGGTGAAGACGGCTTTCTGCTGAAACGCGCTGTCAATGCAGCCCTGTACTGCCTGCTGCAGCACCACAGAGGGCCTGGCAGGACCCAGGTGATCGGGCAGCTGCAGCACCTTCTGCCTGTCCAGGTTAGGACCCGTGTTCACATGCTTATTCACGTAGATACACACTGTAATAAGATGGAGAGGTTTTAGAGATGGAGAAAAAGAGAGAGATGAACAGAAAGAAAGATATTTCTTATAGTCACTGTGTAGAATTAGCAATATCTGCATTTATAATGAAATAAGCATGATATAAAACTGCTGTAATGGCATATCTTTTTATTAGTTCACATTCAAGCCATTGTCTGATTACCTTAGAGAAACAAAAAAAGCAAAGTTAAACACCACAGTTAATTGCAATGCTATGCAGGGTAATTAGCTTTGATCTTGCTTTTGAGAGTTTTGAAAATGAGTTCATTTGGTTAGCTGGTGATGTATCCTTAAGTGTTTGTGTAACTCAGGGCTCGAAATTAACTTTTTTACTTGGTAGCACTGGTGCTCCCAACTTCAAAAAGTTAGGAGCACCAGCAAAAATTTAGGAGCACTCACCAAAAATTTAGGAGCACCACAACTACAAATTATATATTAACAGATTTTATCCTTACATTCTTAACTTTAATGCAGATTTTGTATTGGTTAATATTAGCTGTCAATCTCTCAGTCACTGCTTTCCGCTAACTACCGCGAGAAAACGAAAGGGCTGAAGAATAGAGAAAATTAAAAGAACACTGACGGATTTCTTTTGTAAATAACCTAAAGTTAAGCTCTTCTTTGGCGAGGGTTAGGATGGTGTATGCGGTGTTAAATTTTACATTCAGCTCTGCCAGTTGCACCGAACGGCTGGCAGCTAGGGGTGTGCGATATTGACAAAAAAT